TATCTTGAAATAATATTTGTTCATGTTTAGAATTGAAAAAAAATGAATTATAGAAATATTTTAAAAAATTGCTTTATGTATACAACTCTTTCCTAGGGTTAAAGTTCAGAATTATGCGCAGCGCCTGCAGCTGCACCCACTCTGGTACCTTGAGATTTTCCTTTAAAAAAGGAAAGAATAACTTCTGGAATTTTTATTTTCTGACCCTGTATACTATTAGCAAAATTTTCTTTATTATTTATTTATTTGGTTTTTAGCGGTGCTAGTGGTTCACATTTTTTTGAACCACCAGGAGGGGGAAAGACATGCGGTAGGGTCGCCGGGTCCGGGAGTGGAACCTGCGACGTCCACGTCCAGGACTGAGGCCTCCAAACGTGGGGCGTGCTGCAGTGGCACAGGGGGTTAGCTACCACCAGCAAAATTGTGGAGAAAAAAAACCCCTCATGTCAAAACATCTTGTACATAGTGAGTCTGTGGGGGTCAAAGGGCATGTCAAAGCCCTTTGTTTATTTGGCGGCTTGGCGCTTTTTCTGTAAGCTAAAAATGAATGAGCGGAGTTTGATCCCACTCGTAGTTCCAACAGCAGTCGTTTGGATCCCGGCTGAGCTTTTACCTTATGTGGTTCTGGCGGGTCACCGGATGGCAGACATCTGCTGCTCCTACTGAGCTTCTGAGTCTGCGGTTTGAACAATTGAATCTAGTAGAAACGCTCCCCAAAAGACCAGAAATGAAGCACCTTCTCCTCCACTGGACATATGACACCATCTGGACCTGGGAATCAACACAGGTCAGCTTCGCTTTCATGTCATTATTATTTAGCATCATTTGTAAAAAAAAAAAAATAAAAAATCTGCTGCTTTTGTGGTTTAGGTTTGTGCTGGTGGAGAGATGTTGTGCTCTTGCAGGTCAGGTGCTGTGATAGTTTTGTGCTACTCTCCAATCTTAACTTTTTTTCGGCATCTGCTGAGGTCAGTCAACATGTGACCTGTCAGCTTTTCAGTTAGCGAAACCACGAAAAGGCTAATAAACCATCTACCTGCCAGAACCGCGCACGGTAAACAGCTCAGGCAGGAATTAGAACAACAGGAGCTCATTCATTGTTAGCTCACTGAAAAAGTGCTAAATTAACAGAAGTAAAACCAATAAGATTTGGCCTTTTGCGTACCCTTTGACCCCCACAGATTCACACTCGTGCACTACGTACAAGATGTTTTGACACAAAATATCTTTTTTCTCCACAATTTTGATAATAGTAAAGAGGGTTAGATAATAAAACATACAATAACTATTTTGTTTTTTGATTTAAAGGTAAATCTCAAGGTACTCGGTGCGTACGGCTGCAGGCGCTGCTGCAACAATCCATACTGTCAGTCACTTAGAATCACACAGAAAAGCTGCGAAAGGGAATCAAAGTGAAAACTTTAAACTAAGAACTTCTGATCACATAATGACAATTAACCAAATCTGCCATGGTAAATCATTACTGATAACTGTTGTGAGTATTCCCTAACATTAATATGATCAAATCCCTTGTTACCATATATGTATTGTTATAAAGGCTGAGCCAAGAAAATTTCTGTCTGCATCAAACAAGTAGCATTTCGTTTTGCTCTATACCTGTGAAGAAGCTCCCAGACTCCAAAAGGTTGGTGACTCCTGTTCTAGACCCACAAACACACACACACAGACACACAGACACACACACACACACACACACAGACACACACACACACACACACAGACACACAGACACACACACACACACACACAGACACACACACACACACAAAGACAGACACACACACAGACACACACACACACCACACACACACACACACACACACACACACACAGACACACACACACACACAGACACACACACAGACAGGACGTGGACTACAGAGCAGGAGGATCAGAACATTCTGCAGCTTTTCTCAACAGAACTTTTGCTAATGCCCCACACTGCCAAGGATAACCATCACCATGGTAACCACAGGGAACCAGCCTGGCCTAAACCCACACAACAGTCCATCAGCTGCCATGGCAACCTGGACTTCCTGAACCTCAGCAGAACCACCGGCTAACCACATGCTTCACATGTTGTACGATAAAAATGAGCCCAGTCAAAGTACTGAGTGCAGATACTGTACACTACAGTAGAGCCATATTTGTTGATCTGATGGAATATTATAACTTGCAGAGAAACTGAATTAGTTTTTTTGTCAGCCAGAAGCCCCTCCGCCTGCAGACTCAATCCATGTAATAAATACCTTCTTAAACTCTCCAATCATATTCTAACTTCCTAAGATGTAGGCCATCGGAGTATAGCTGACAAGTGAAGTGTGGGCCTGAATGTTTTCCTTCTGGCTGTGTTCCAGGGCATGTACGGCATCGACGGCGAGGTCTTCCTGTCCCTGCCCTGCGTCCTGAACGGCAGCGGCGTCAGCAGCGTGGTTAACATGACCCTGACAGACGCAGAGATTGCCCAGCTGAAGAAGAGCGCCGACACACTGTGGGGCATCCAGAAGGACCTGAAGGACCTGTGAACGCCCCCTCCAGCCCCCTAGGGTGCAGAGAACCCCGCTGTCTCCCAGCACTCCTCCTCTGTTGTCCTGATCTCAGGCTTTCATTCTCTAACTATAGGAAGCTACAGGTGTGTTTAGAGCTGTCACAGTTCAGCTTCTGTTCAGCTTCTGTTCAAACATGTCTCCTGAATTTTGTTCTAAAATCCCATGGTATGATTCCTAAAGTAATACGCTTGTTCCAAAGAGCTTGTTGGTTGCGTCTCCTGTGTTTGTGTTGGACGATAGACTTCTGTCTGTCTGTTTTCTCAGTGGGGATTCATTCCAGGCTTTCTGTTGTTCATACTGGCTTCACTTGGTTCCTTTAGCTGCAGGGATTTTCATAGAGAGCTCCAACTGACTTGAAAGATCCATAACTCCAACAGCAGGTGATGCTCTGGCCTTATCTTTGAACCCAACTGTAAGTTCACAGGTTGCCACCGGCAACAGTCACCTGGGAATGTTAATGATAGGAAGCCATCTACTGTAGAGACTGCTCAAAACCCTGCTGTGTAATGACATGTTGGAATAATAAATTTGGTCACAAAGAACAATGTCTTTGCTTCTTTTTGTGTTCAATCTGGTCCAACAATCCAGGTGTGTTGGAACAGAGGCAGAGTTGAAAGCTGCAGTTGGACTGCTGGCCATGTTGAGTAAGCTCTGCGGCGGTGGGAACGCAGACGCTCCGCAGCTCGCTCCGCAGACGCTCCGCAGCACGCTCCGCAGACGCTCCGCAGCTCGCTCCGCAGACGCTCCGCAGACGCTCCGCAGACGCTCCGCAGACGCTCTGCAGACGCTCCGCAGACGCTCTGCAGACGCTCTGCAGCTCGCTCCTCCTGCTGCCGTTTGCCTTCAGCCCTTGGCTGTCCTCCTCTTCTGCTGAACTTTTTCACTTAATGATCCAGAAAACGTTTTTCATTTTCGATATTCTTTTGATGTTGAGGAATGATGGCTGCATGGTGATTTTTACACTTCATTATTGCCAGCACAAGCAGACACTTTTCCCCTGAGGTTCCTGCAGGTGGAAGACTTCGGTTGGTGAAAATGCAGATATCCCTCAGGTGAGCCTTTAAAGGAACCCTGTATTTCTCTGGCACCTCACAAAGCATCTGTAGGAACAATCTCGCTTTCTTCCTGAAGATAAACTGGTGGGCCAAAATGCCCTGCTCTGCAAGCTGCAGCTCTGCTCCACAGCCAGAGGAAAAACCACGCTGCTGATGCCACGCTGCTGATGCCATGTTTCACAGCCGCTTGGACACTACAGAAGACTGACTTTTAGGCCAAGTTTTTATTTCTGTTCAGTAAAGCCACCCTGGTCCTCAAAGATACATGTTTCAGATGTTCCTCTGCTTCAACACACCCCAGTTAGATGATTACAATTTAGCAAAATGCTGTTAATCAGCCATCAGCTGCAGTCGTGTGCTGAAGCAGGGGAATGCCTGAAACCTGCAGGGCAGTTAGCCTTGAGGACCAGGGTCGAAAATACTGTTTTTATGACCAATTCCTCTTTCTCACGATGATAGACTGGCTGGTAGAGCGGCCAAAACTTCTACTCAAGTAAGAGTAGAATACTACAATATATTTTTACTCGAGTAAAAATATCCATGAAATGTCCAAGAAAGTACGAGTAAAAATTGGTAAAAAGGTGATTCAAGCACTGAGAAACTGAGTATCTTTAATATTTCAAAATTACATCATATCTACCAAATATAAAGTTATCTGGAATTTTTTGGAAAATAATTCATATAAAATAATTACAAAATAAGATTTTCAGATCAGTTTCTTTAAAACAAAACATATAAATTAACAAAAACTGCAGATGTCTGGTGAATTTTTGGTTAAAAATTCAGTAAAGTTACTCTTAATGGGTAGATGATCCAGAAAAGTACTAGTAAGACCATCAGTACTTCATAACAAAAAATACTCAAAATTAAAAATGACATAATTGTGAAAGTACTCTTAAAGATAATTGATTTTCTAAAAAGTTGCTCATTATCCAGATGCTGGATGATCACCACCATGCACTGCACTGCCATCTTGTGGACTCTTTGAGGAAGTAAATTGTTACTCACTGGTCAGTGAAATCAGTGCTGGTTTCCCATGTCCAGCACAGAGTTAAAGGACTGAATTTCCTCCTCATTTGCTTAAGTTCTACAGAGTCCTGCTGATTATATGACACCATTAACATGGGATGGAAAGGGTCACAAGTTTTTCCTCCTTGTGAAGTGGACGTCACCGAGGTGGGTATGATTACCTGTCAGATGGAAAAAACTTGGTAGCTTGATTTCCACTTTCCATCATCTTTGATGGCAAATGTCTGTTTACCAGGTTTAACATGGTAAATAATGTTAAACAGCTGTCCTGTACATGTTTTATCAGTTCCACCACTTGTATGTGTTTACATTCTAGCCTCATATTCGGTTTGAAAATGAATGTAGATTACAAAATGATGTCAAACTTTCAGTTAAGGAAACATTTTTATTACAGGTAAGATTTTAAATTTCTGACTTCCGGACATAAAATCCACAACTTCTTGCCTTTAGGTGGACACCTCCAGCTCTCGGGAGAAAAGGGACAGCGGTAAAAAGCCTCTTGTTCTGGCTCTTTTCACAGCTCTTCTGAACACATAGTTGTTGTTGTAGCGTTTTCCAAATCGGAGGCCAAATGGGTTGTAGTTGAATTTACTGCGGCGGTCGTTGCACAGGAGCTGCTGTTGCTCCTCATCCTGCCTCAGGGACAGACACAGGTTGGGGTCTTCTGCCAGGAAGTCACCTGCACGTCTTCTCCTGAGGGCTGAGAGGAAAAAAACACCGTCCACACCAGACCCTACGTTGTTATGTAATCAAGACTTTCTTTACATATGAATTGAAATGGTTAAATTATGTTTTCTTAAATAAATCTTTTACATAACCAAAGCATCACATACAGAATTAAGGTCACCTGGTTGGTTGGTTTTGTCACACCTTGACGGTGTTCACTTTCCTTGACTTGTCCACATTTTGTAATATCAGTGTTTAAACAATCTTATCTGTTTGGGACAGAAACATTTTGTACATCCATAAACACCAGTTGTTTTGTTGACACGCCTTATGTGTGTCACACGGGGAACGTGTGGATTCAATATTCCACAGTTCTCACTGTGGAACAAGACAAGGACTGTGAGACTTAGAAAAGAGATGTGTCTTTACCTTAAACAGACCATTCTATAGACCTTAAATAGTCTACAGAATGGACTCTATAAAATCATGATAGAGTCCATTCTACTATATCCAACAGTAGAAACATTGTAAGGAAGATCAGTGGAGCGCATATTGACCTGAGGTCACGAGTAGCATAGAGTATTTATTTCTATCCATGGTGGATACATTGTCGATTCATTTACAAAAATACATGACAATGTGTTTTTCTTATGGACTATTTTCTATCATTTATTTCAAAATCTGTTCTGAGATCGATGAATCATAGGGCTGGGCAAAATCTCGCAAAAGCAGAGGTGTGAATAATTTGTATTGATTTTTATATTATATTTTAAAGTTCTACCATGCCCAAATAAAACAGCTTTTTGTTTAGATTATTTTCACATCTCTTTTCCTGTCTAATCATTCCAAACTCTCCAGATTATATACTCTTGATTTTATTCTTTTATATCTCATATATCTTGTCTCATTTGGTCTGTCTTTAATTTCAAATATCTTTAAATGCAACTGTGCTGTTGAAAAGTAACCTGTCCTTTTGTCCAGTTCATATGTTAGAATTAACAGGACAGTTGTTTTTGAATCTCATCCCAGATCGGTCTTCAAAGTGAGACTTTCTTCTTTGTCTTTTCTGTCTACTATGGGAAATATAGAGGAATCACCAGAGCGGATAACAATATAAAAGCAGTAACTATTAACAAATAGTTGTTTTCCTTTACTTCTTGTCAGAAATATATACACACTCTTTTTTTATATTTCCTGGACAGCTGTATGTCAAAATCTGCCATTTTAGTAAAACTAATTAAAATTAGCAATGCAAGTAGATCTGAAGACAAAAGTCACAAAGAAAAGTCTAGTCACCTACAAATAAGTATTATTTTGTTGTAATCACAATAATCATATGCAAAATGACCCATTTTAAGCTATAATACAATATGAACTAGAAATAGAAGAAATTCTGCCTTCTATGTAAGGCAAAAATTCTGTCTTAAATAGAAGGTTTATCACAAAGATATGTTCCTGGATATTTAGCAACTTCAACATCTAAGAATTAAAAGAAACATAAACATGCACTGTAAAGATGTGTGCATTTGTCAAGCTGTAGCTAGATTTAAAATGAAATGGATTTTGTCAGGTAGCCCACCTGTTCCATGAGTTTTCTGTACAGGATCAAGTCCAAGTGGAACTGCTCCCACATTCCCATCATCATCCACAACGAAGAGCACGCACACGGCAGCGAGGACCACCAGGCGCATCTTTCCACAAGCCAGTCGCTCTCACTGAGTCCAAACTCTAATTTATACCAGTGCAATGGATGCTAACGTGTTTTATGCATTCAACCCAGTTTTGGCGTCTCCACCAGGTGACCTTTTGTTCCTGAAGCTCACAGCCAATCACAGCAGACCTGTCTGCTGCTGTTGCAAGTACTCAAATGCATCATTCATCAGCTCTTCTTGGAAATGTTGACAACTCACAGCCCTGCTGACTTCATGCTGATAGTGCTGAAAAAAGGACATTTTTCTCAAAAAGACAAAGTTTAGATTTATGTTGTGATTGCTTAAAGACCTATTCTAAAACACAAAACATTTTCAATGAAGCTTTTTTAAAATGTGGGACAGAATTTTCTGTCATGGGAGAAATGTAAACTGCTGTGAATCCATTCAAAGCATAAAGCGGTTTGATTCTGTTGGGCCTTTTGGTGTTTTAACTCAAAGTGAACATATTCAAATTAGGACAACTCAGTTTTCTAGAGTGAAGTACACAACTGTGTTAACATTGTGCCACAGCACAACTATTACTTAGGTAGTAATATTATATGCTTTTTTTAAACTGTAGTTAGCAATTCATACAATGTCGTTTTGCCAGTTTACGCCAAATGCACACGTGTTCTTTAGCAATTCTGAAATTTCTGGATTACACAAAAAAAAAAAAAAAACATGTGGCAGCAAAATCATTCTGAAAACACCAAAACAGCATGGCTGCATCATGCTGTGGGGATGCATTTCAGTGACGGTAGCCGGCCAGCGATGAGCATGAAACAGGAGAACCCAGCAGAAACAGAAAGGCTTAAATACTGAGAATGATGCTGACAAGATGCAGATGGTTGGGCTGGAAAAGAAGCCAAACAGATAGAGTGAGGAAAGACAAGCGATGAAGACGGAGGGGGCTGAAGACACCAAAAACCTCAAACACCTCAGGACTAATTCAGTTCAACCATTTGATTTGTATTCTTTAGTCTGGTGAGATCTGCAGCTTTTTGTCAGGTCTAGTAGGACAAAAGATTTAGATAGTTAAGAATTCATGAATAGTCAACAAAATATTATTTAATTTATTTATTTTATTTGTATTTATTTTTTTCAAAAATGATAGCAGTATAAAATAGCATACATGAATAAGGAAAGCAAAAGACATATACCAGACATATACCACAATGATCTTAACATGCTTGAAAAACAAGACAATAGGCCAACAACTTAATTCCATGCAGACATATTGTGGTGCACCACAATACATCTTCATAATAAAAAGTTGATATTTTTCATCTGTATGATTTCGTTTGCCCAGGTGTGACTCTATGTTGCTCTCTGCAGCTGCAACATTTCTCTTGTATTTCTTTGCACTCTTCTATGTCGTGATCTTCAAAACATGTTGGACTTGTGTTTTCATTTATCGTGTCTTTGGCATTGGAAACAGCAAAGTGGCCTTCCTTGAAAACTTAAGTGAGCCATTTTGATATATTTGGCAATACTGTTTCTTCAAACTCTACTAAGATGAACAAATTCTCTACTTTTTTCATTAATTGTATTTGACAGTTTCTTCAAGTTATTCACTTTTGCACCAACATCAAATTTTAAATTTTTTATCTAGATCTTCATCTAGAGGTGTTGTCCCAAAATTCATTGTAGAGTCCATCAATTTTTCAATGTGTCCCTGGGCCTACACAATTGAACTAAATGATCAAATTGCCTCACTGGCATGCAGTGCAGCTCCAGAGCGCTTTGCTAATGAGTGAATATTGAAGCAGGCATATTGAAACATCTGAACGTTGCAATACACCAGAGGTCTGGAGTTTAAGATACTGATCTACAGTCAACGTCTGCATTGATCAACCCAGGAGAAAAAAAATACTGCAGTATATTTCAAACATACTTGCATTTGCGTAAGTACTTTTTAAGTATACTATTAAGTCTTCTACATATTAATAAACAAGATTTTATTTGAAAAGAATTTGACAGAATTTATTCCCCTTGTTAATCTACCATTTCTCTTTCATAAATTATTTTCATTGTTAGCTTTCAGGGCCCTGTGATGAACTGGTGACCTGTCCAGGGTGAATCTCATCTGCTGACTGCTGGAGATGGGCACCACCAGCCCCCCTCACCACCATGCAAGGATCAGCGTGTTCAGATCATGGATGGAAAGATTTTAAGGTAGATTGTCTCTCTTAAGTCCGCATTTAAAACAACTTCATAGTTAATTCCAACATCATTATATTGCTCACTATTTTTTTTCTACTTCTACCATATGCAGGCAAAAAGACACCCAGACATTTTTTTCACCCCCAGGCATCTGGTTTCAGTCATCATCATCACTAGTTTGGATGATGCCACATACATAGCGAGTCCACGTCTCAAAATTGTATGTCAAACTTTTTTCTTTGCCGTTTTTCTGTACTCTTTAAAATTCATGTGCTTTCTCTGTTTACTTGCGCTGTTGTTTTATTCTCTTTTTTGTAGGTTTCTGTAGTGCAGTGGTGCAGTTAATGGGAATGTTCTGTCATTGATCCTCACTGTTCTTAGGAATGAGAAATGTCAATTTGTCTGCAGTAATACTGAAAAACTGACATTGAATTAAAACAATACTCTGTCCTTGGTGAAATATTTTTCACATTGTGCTAATTTGTGATCAGTATGTTGTAATTGATCCTTCTGTGTTCTGGTAGCCAGATGTGTTTGCAGTACTGTAGTGTGAATCAAGCATGTGATGTGCAAATGATGTAAAAAGTATACTTCATAAGAAATTATAGTAAAGCAAAAGTGTAACTGGAGCATACTGTGATCACATTACTAATATATACAATATGTAATGCTCATATACTTAAAATACATTCTAAACATTTTTATATGTAATTAGATCACAGAAATTGTTACTTAAGATCTACTAATCAAACACGTTTATATTATATAAAAAGCTGTATCCTTAATGTATTCAAAGTATAACTTTAGTTGTTCCATGAAAAAAGGATGTGATTTTACACTTAGTACAATTTAAAATGTGATTTTCTACAATTTAATTGCTATTAAAATACAGTAAATACAAAATGAGTTGTTCCAAAATAACATACTTGAAGTTAACTAACCCTAACTAACTTGAAGTATATGAATGATTATCCTGGCTGCAGAATGCTATTAGTTTTCCAGGTCAATCTGCTCACTGTGTTTCTACCACTGTACTTTCAGGGTATGCCTCCATGTGACTGATCTGATCTCAAACAGTGAAGCAGCAGCAGTGAAGCAGCAACAGCAGCAGTGAAGCAGCAGCAGCAGTGAAGCAGCAGCATTGACAGAACATTTGAGCCAGTGGCGGAGCTAGACTTTTTTTCAAGGGGTGGCCAAAGGGTGAGCAAGGCTTTATCAGAGGGTCCATATACAAATGATGAACAAAAGGAAACAAATATTTCTCACACACTCAAATTAAAATGGTTTATTTAACTAAGATTTGCCATGACCAAACAAGACGTTAAACAGCTCTATGGAACAGTGAACATGTAAATGTAAACCCAGAGCCCAGAATATGACCAAAAACTAATTCTCAACAATAAATCAATAAATAAACTGGTGCTTCTGGTGTGCAATAGGTTGTGCTGGGTGGGGGCAGTTCAGTGCCACTTCCTTCTGCTTCACTGTCTTCCTCCCCAGAGTCTGAATCTGTATCACCCTCATCTCTCTCTGGAACTTCATTGGAAATGCATAAACAGACACAATAAAAAATGCAAAAAGCATCATGCTAACCTTTAGAATTAGGCTTATTGGATTTTAATACTTAATAACTCTCTGTCACAGCCTCTAACCCGCTGGTGATACACTTGGGCCTGGAGTCTCCTGGCTGGATTCTCCAGGTTGGTCACTGCTGCAGGGTTCTGTCTGGTCCTGGTCACTGCTGCAGGGTTCTGTCTGGTCCTGGTCACTGCTGCAGGGTTCTGTCTGGTCCTGGTCACAGGGTTCTGTCTGGTCCTGGTCACTGCTGCAGGGTTCTGTCTGGTCCTGGTCACTGCTGCAGGGTTCTGTCTGGTCCTGGTCACGGTCACTGCTGCAGAGTTCTGTCTGGTCCTGGTCACTGCTGCAGGGTTCTGTCTGGTCCTGGTCACTGCTGCAGGGTTCTGTCTGGTCCTGGTCACAGGGATCTGTCTGGTCCAGGTCTGGTCCTGGTTTTTGCCTCTTTAAGAAGAACTGGGAGATCTTCCCTTCTCTCTTCATTTGGGTTCTACACAAAATAAGAGCCTGGTATTTAGACTCCATAACTGTTTGGCAGAGACAACATTTTAACTATTATTAAAACTATAGTTTTTAGTTTTCTGTAGCTAACTAAAATACTAAATTAAAAATGCATTAATTAAAATTAATCAATATAACTAGTTAGGTTATAATTCAAAGCTTTTATATGACATAGCCTACTTACATTTCAGTCATTATAGAACTTAATGGTTTTTCTCATATTCTTACCACACACATTTCAAGCAAGAGCTGGGAGATATAAAACATTAGAGGGCAGCATGTCACTAAAACATGTGTTAAAAGAATCTGTCTAAAACACGATCTATCAGCACTAGCATGGCTAATATAATAAACGAGGCACTACGCAGCGGTGCACAACCATTTTGTTTTTCTTTTTAGAAATGTATGACAAGAGCCGCCTCTCATTAGGAAGGTAACAGCGGTTACTGCTGAGCGGTAAAATGTCGTAAATACCTGCAGAACTCCTGGATGCTGTAACTCTAAAGCCGCGGATGTTTTGGATCAAGCAGGACCGACATGTCAGTTTAACCAATGAACAGCGTCGGGCATCGAGCTGCCTTCAGGGACAGTCGGAAATTACAGTTTTCCTGGCAAATCTTTGCCGATCTCATTAGTATTATATTTTAAAATTACCATTTCCAGTGGGGTGGCACTAGGGGTGGCCAGGGGTCTGCTGGGGGTGGCAAGTGCCACCCCGGCCACCCCTCTGGCTCCGCCACTGATTTGAGTCTGTCAACTTTTCTCTGCGCGTTCCCGGACTTCTAAAGTGTGCGTGCGGGAGACCGTGGGTATGTTAGAGCGAGCGCGCTTGTCGCGGGTACGCGCACTCCAGTGGAGCTCTCAGCTCGACATGGCGGCGGATCCAAAGCCGGACTGGCTCTGCTGTCTTCCCTCTTCTTGGAGTTATGGAGTGACTCGGGATGGACGCATATTCTTCATTAAGTAAATATGACGCAGACAATCGGGAACGTGTCATTTCCTTACTTGTCCTATTGTTGGCTTCATCGCCTCCCATTTTTTTCCTTCCACCAGCGAAGAAGCAAAGAGTACAACCTGGCTGCATCCTGTTACTGGAGAGGCTGTGATCACAGGCCACAGGAAAACTCCAGGTAAATCACCGGGATGGCTTCATGTCCCTCTGCACGCGCGCAAGGTTGTCTCGGAGTTGTGTTGGAAAAAAAGGCGACAAGTTGCGCAAAGATCCGTGGAAGACGAAGGAAGAGGAGGAGGGAGGAGGGAGGAGAGGGGGGGAGGGGGAGGGGAGGGGGTCTTTTCGCTGCAGCAGAGCAACAACCTCTGCAAAACAAAACCACACACACACACACGCACACACACACACACACGCACACACACACACACACACAC